GTATACCTGGAAGTGTTTTAGAGGATTATGATAAAGTCAGCTTTGGATGGAGGGAGGAAACGCCCTTCCACTTCACTTCCATCTCCTGAACGTTGCTTTCCACCTTTCATCTAGTCTCTTCTTCTCCCTCCTCCTCCTCCACTTATTCCTTCCACTTTTTATTCTCTTTTCCTTCAGTTCCCTTCCTCTTCTATCTTATTTCCTGTTTTCCCTTCCATCCCTCTCTGCATGGTTTCTCCCCTCCCCACTCTCATCTCCTCTTACTTTTCCTTCCCTTCATCTAATCTTACCTTCCCTTCTTTCCCCCCTCCTCCACTCCTCCCCCTTTCCCTTCTTTCTTTTCTCCTCTCTTCTTCTCTTCCCTTCATCTCATCATTTCTTTCTCTTCTCCTTTTGCCTTCATCGCCTCTTCCCTTCTTTCTTCTCTGCTTTCCTCTTCTCTTCATCTCCTCTTCCTTTTCCTTTATTTCCTCTTCCGTCTTTCTCTGCTCTTCTACTCTTATCTGCACCTTCTCTTCCCTTCCCTTTATCTTATCTTTCATTCCCTTTATCTCGTCTTCCCTTCTCCTCTCATTTTCTCTCCCCCTAATCTCCTCCTCCCTTCTCTTCCTCTCATCTTCTCTTCCCTTCAGTCTCTGCTTCCTTCCCTTCTTTCTCCTCTCCAATTTCCTTCATCTCCTCTTCCCTTCTCTTCATCTCCTCTTTCCTTCTCTTCATCTCCTCTTCCCTTCTCTTCATCTCCTCTTCCCTTCTCTTCATCTCCTCTTGCCTCCTCCCTTCATCAAAAATGTACTTCTTTATTCCCTTTATCTCCTTTTCCCCTTTACTTCATTTTATCTTTCCTTTCCTTCTTTCTGTTCTCATCTTGCCTTCCTTTCATTTCCTCTTCCCTTCTTTCTCCTCTTCCCTTGATCTTCTTTTCCCTCCATTCATCTCCTGTTCCCTTAATTTCTTATGACTCTTTTCTTGTCGCTTCCCTTCTCCTCCCTCTCCTCTCCCCTTTCTGTCATCTCATCTTCCCTTCTCCTCCCTCTCCTCTTCCCGTCATCTCATCTTCCCTTCTTTATCCTTTCCTCTTCTCTTCATCTCCTCTTCCCTTCCCTTTATCTATGCCTACCTTCCATTCACCCCCCTTCTATTCACCTCTCTTCCCTTCATCTCTTTTCCCCTTCCTTTCATTTCCTCTTTGCTTTTACTCCCCCATCTCATCTCCCTTTTTTTCCCCCCCCCCCTTTCCTCTTCTTTCCTTCATCCCCTCTCCCCTTCCCTGAATTCTCTTCTCTTCTTTTCTTTTCCTCATCTTTCTCTCTATACCCTCTACTTTTCTCTTCTCCTCCCTCCTCTACTTGTCTAGACTCATCTCTTCATCTTCTCTTCCCTTCTACCTTTTAAATTACCCCCAAATAACTGGAGATGAGACTTTTTTTTCCAGACATAGATTTGTGGTTGTGGGGGGAGCGTTGGGTCAATTTCTTTAAGATAAGAAGAAGAAGAAGACTAAAGAACCCAATACACAATATTTGGGTTGACAGATCAGAACTGGTCAGCAGTGTTTCCGGGAGTAAATTGGGTGTCTGGGAAGGTCTGAAGGTTTTCTTGCCTTTGGGCACGAGGCGTGGCTGAAGCCCATTTTCATGTCTCTGGTGGACAGACCCTCGCCCCTGAGACGCACACACGGAACCCCCGCAGATGTCTCTGGTGGATAGACCCTCGTCCCTGAGACGCACACACGGAACCCCCGCAGATGTCTCTGGTGGATAGACCCTCGTCCCTGAGACGCACACACGGAACCCCCGCAGATGTCTCTGGTGGATAGACCCTCGTCCCTGAGACGCACACACGGAACCCCCGCAGATGTCTCTGGTGGATAGACCCTCGTCCCTGAGACGCACACACGGAACCCCCGCAGATGTCTCTGGTGGATAGACCCTCGTCCCTGAGACGCACACACGGAACCCCCGCAGATGTCTCTGGTGGATAGACCCTCGTCCCTGAGACGCACACACGGAACCCCCGCAGATGTCTCTGGTGGATAGACCCTCGTCCCTGAGACGCACACACGGAACCCCCGCAGATGTCTCTGGTGGATAGACCCTCGTCCCTGAGACGCACACACGGAACCCCCGCAGATGTCTCTGGTGGATAGACCCTCGTCCCTGAGACGCACACACGGAACCCCCGCAGATGTCTCTGGTGGATAGACCCTCGTCCCTGAGACGCACACACGGAACCCCCGCAGATGTCTCTGGTGGATAGACCCTCGTCCCTGAGACGCACACACGGAACCCCCGCAGATGTCTCTGGTGGATAGACCCTCGTCCCTGAGACGCACACACGGAACCCCCGCAGATGTCTCTGGTGGATAGACCCTCGTCCCTGAGACGCACACACGGAACCCCCGCAGATGTCTCTGGTGGATAGACCCTCGTCCCTGAGACGCACACACGGAACCCCCGCAGATGTCTCTGGTGGATAGACCCTCGTCCCTGAGACGCACACACGGAACCCCCGCAGATGTCTCTGGTGGATAGACCCTCGTCCCTGAGACGCACACACGGAACCCCCGCAGATGTCTCTGGTGGATAGACCCTCGTCCCTGAGACGCACACACGGAACCCCCGCAGATGTCTCTGGTGGATAGACCCTCGTCCCTGAGACGCACACACGGAACCCCCGCAGATGTCTCTGGTGGATAGACCCTCGTCCCTGAGACGCACACACGGAACCCCCGCAGATGTCTCTGGTGGATAGACCCTCGTCCCTGAGACGCACACACGGAACCCCCGCAGATGTCTCTGGTGGATAGACCCTCGTCCCTGAGACGCACACACGGAACCC